AATTTTTCTATGTATACACTGCAGTGAGAATCTCTAGATATATTATCTATGCAGATGCTTTCTTAAAAGAAAAAAACAAAGGAAGCAAGAAAGGAAAAATATAGTAGTGTCTTTCCATAAAACCAAGAAAGTCATTGCTAGCTTGTCTCAGTCATTGACAGAATGATTTTAACCAAATTACTTCAAATAGGAACTTGAGATCCACCATTAACAATTTAATTTATAGTTTCAATTAAGGAGCAATTTGATTTACAACTATACTTTTACACAAATAGTTTAGATTGGCCTGTGAACAAACCAAGGATCAAAGAGAATTTTAGAACTAGAGGGGACTTTCTGGCCCCTCATTTTACACATGAGGAAACTGAGAACAAAGAGATTTGTCCTAAAACAAACAACTAATTTCTTCACTGTTAAAAGAGGAAAGAATTCAACCTTCTTGCTCCTTGTTCAGGACTCTGGTAAATTCAATTTATTTCTTCTAACTACTTTATAAATATCACCTGTGGTTCCTGAAAATTCCCAAGTGGTTCCAGAAAATTTTCATTTTCCAAATCACCTGATTAATAAAAAGAATTTCACATTTTCAGGTTGGGTGCAGTAGAAAGTCAAAGAACTTAGTATGGTGAAGGAATTTAGAAACTCTCTCTTTCAAATAAGGAAAGTAAAGTAAAGGGGAAAGTAAAGAGGAAAGAAGGAAAGGAAAGGAAAGGAAAGGAAAGGAAAGGAAAGGAAAGGAAAGGAAAGGAAAGGAAAGGAAAGGAAAGGAAAGGAAAGGAAAGGAAAAAGGAAAAAGGAAAAAAGGAAAAAAGGAAAAAGGAAAAAGGAAAAAGGAAAAAGGAAAAAGGAAAAAGGAAAAAGGAAAAAGGAAAAAGGAAAAAGGAAAAAGGAAACAGAAAACAATGTAAGTAGCTTGCTACATCCAGTGAGTCAGACACAGAGTCCAGAGTGCAACCCAACTCTGCTAACCCCAGGATATTCTCCCCTTGTATTTTTTTATTCATTTTACTTAAAAAAAAAAAAAAAAGGCAATGTGATCCTGTAGAAAGAATACACACTGACTAGGTGACATTGGGCAAGTCATTAAACTTGGAAACTAAGTTTCTTCAACTATTAAATAAACAGAGTCAATCAGATGAGCTCTGAAGTTTCTTACTTCTTTCTGTGAACCTGGAATTTTAAAAATACAGCTCAAATGCATTAGGTTATGGGATCCAGTGGCAAAAAATACAGTGGCAGTCTAACTCTGAATACCTTCAAAGAGCTATCAAGAAGGAGAGCACAGACAACAGTAGAGAGCAGAGTGGACTTTAGGAATTCCAAATCTGGAAAGGTAGAACTAGCTGGTGAATCTGTGGTTTTAGATTCAGTAAAGTGCTTCAGAAAGTTGCCATGCACCATAATTCTACACCTACCACAGGTTTCCAGGAAGTTAACTTCTCCTGAACATCTAGTTTTCACCTCTTAGTATTCTTTCTCACTATTGTTCTGAGAACGCATCTAATATAGTTGGACAACTAATACCAAATTATATAAATTATATATGGTATTAAGGCCAAGAATTTGGTTTCCCTAAAAAAAACAAAATTCAACATCAGTAATTGCTAAAACAAACAAAATAATACTTAAGTTTGATTCTGATATATTTGAGGATATAGTAACACGAATGTAATTAATCTTTTTCCAAAAAATCATAAGAGGCAAACTTCAAAGACCTGTTCCTAACTCATTCCTCAGCTCACATTTTGCTATCAGGCAATTCTTGCTAGCATGAATATAGCTAATACCATTACTTATGTCTTCATAACCTCAGTTTAACTACCTGTAAGAAAGCACCTATACAAAATCTCTTCTTACTGAATTCTTGTCCTACAGTTATTCACTCTGTTCTTCCTTCAGATATATCCAATTCTTTTTTGCCCACCATCTGTTTTTCCTTCTCTCTTTGCCCTAAAAATCTTTTATAATAGGGTATGATACTTATTAAAGGCTTTAACAATGAAATAGTTTTATCCACACCCCCAGAACTTTCCATTGATCCCCTCAGTTATATGTGTGCATACCTAGTTGATATAAGTTTTATACTTTGAGCTTCTAAGTGGACTTTCATAAATTTGAAGTAGAGGCAGCTTTTGGATGAAAGGTGTTTTAAGTAGGTAAATCCTAAATTTTGGCAGAATAAGTAGTTTAGAGCTTCCCACCAGTATCCTAGGTAGAACTGGGGCTAGGCTGTGACTAGACATGTGGACATCGGTGGGAAAACCAGAAGAAAAGAATTGATCACTAGTATAGATTTCTGTCCCTCTTTCCAAGCTGCTGAAGGTGGAGGAAAAAGAGGAGACCAAAAAAAAAAAAAAAAAAAAAAAAAGCCCTAGCTAAATCTTCAAAATCCAAGAATAGATGAGGCCTCAAGACACAGAAAGCCAGGTAGGGAAGTTCCCCATTTCCATGCCACACTCAGACCAATAAGATGCTGCAGGAGTAAAGTAGAAAAACTAGCCTGATATACTTGGGCCATGAATACTTGATGTTCTCACTGATTATTCCAGAAGTTTCAGACCATCTGATTCTACCACTAGCATCTACTGTCAGTGGATGCTATGCATACTAAGGAAACCAGATGTTACAAGACCACGGTCACCATAGTGAATTCAACAATAATAGAAGCCAATAACCCATAAAGGAGATGGAAGTCAAATCTCATCTGAGCAGAAGTCAACAGCAGGAGGAGGATGACCATGAGTGAGATGGTCCCTCCCACAATGACAAAGAAGCTCCCTTGAAACCCCATGCCACCCAGCAGAGAGGGAAAGTGGCAAACAAATATACAATGCCATGTATAAAGAGAGACTAGGCTTACATGGAAGGAACTAGCAGAATGAAGGCAAGGAGTCAGGCATTAAACTGAGTTAAAGGGATCCCTGGGTGGCGCAGCGGTTTGGCGCCTGCCTTTGGCCCGGGGCGCGATCCTGGAGACCCAGGATCGAATCCCACATCGGGCTCCCGGTGCATGGAGCCTGCTTCTCCCTCTGCCTATGTCTCTGCGCCTCTCTCTCTCTCTCTCTCTCTCTCTATCATAAATAAATAAAAATTAAAAAAAAAAACTGAGTTGAAGATAAACAGTTACAAAAGGCACCTTTCCTGCAATTTCCAGCATGGGCTGGGAAGGACAGACAGTATGGGTATGGACATCTGGTGAAGTATGCCCCAGACACAGGCCAACACAGTCCTTCTGTGACTTTGAAGCCTAGGTTTGGGCCTAGCAGTAGGCCCCCTTCAGCTGCACAGGACCCCCTTGGCAAGGCCCCACACAGTCTGCATGTAGCCCCTATGGCCCAGAGGGTCAAACACCAAGTAAGTAAGTCGTTCTATAAACTCTCTGTGGCCTGTGGGCTCTGAAGTCCTCTATGTCTTCTGCTCCCACTAGTGCCAATCTCCCACTATACACTTGGCCAGTAGATACTAATCATCTGTTCCCTATCTGTACTCAAAACTCAAGAATAGCCTATTGTTTGCACAGAGACTCCAGACCCATCCCAGTCTGGTGAAACCAATGAACTTTTCTGCTACCTGGTGGCCAAACCAAACCTCCTTCATCAAGATCTGTACCCCTTCCAAGTATGTCCTTACTGGGACACTCTCTCACCTCTAGAGTACTACCTACAGTTTCTTTATATCTTACAGTTACTCTTTCAACACAGTTAACAATTTTTTGTGTTAAACTTCCCCTAATTAACCCAATGTATAGTTTCTGTCTCCTGACTGGACCCAGAGAGCTACATCCACCTAGTCTCAAAATCTGAGTCTATGAATATTTCCACTTCTTCATTTTGTCTCTATCCCGTGGACCATTCCCAGCCCCTCATGTCTCTTTCCTATAGAGATGGTCTTGGACAGCCTCAGATCTACTTTATAAACCCTCCCCTCAAATACCAATTTGTTTGTCAACTTAGAAACACATAAGGGTTCTCTCCTTTCTATCAGATCAAATATGAACTCCTATGCTGAGATTTTAAGGCTTTCTGTGACCTGGCCTCACCAGACCCACTGCACATCTGGAATACTTCCTGCCAGGTAAAAGTCATGTAGGTGTCTGGCCAACATGATACTACATCCTACTGTCATGTCTGTGTTCATGCTCCTCTCTTCTCCCTCTTTTCCCACTTATTCCAAAGTCTTCTGGGACCAGTTCTAAGAGCGCCTATTCATGAGTTCTTTGGGGAACGATTTCTTGCTACACTTTTGTCTGTGTTATCCTTATCAAATAATTAGCATCTTCATATACCCTGCCTTAATTCTCCAACTAGAGATACCACTTCCCAGGTTAACCCTGTAATACCCTTCTCTAATTTATTCATGGCTATTACTCTAACTCATTTTTAACTATACTTTATATGTCTTATATAACTTCACTAGCTTTCACATAGTGGTAAGCTCAATGTTACATGACGGGAAAATCAACTAAGTCAGAGAGTTTTAACCCTATGTAACAGTTGTGGATAGGGCCATTGCTAGGCTATACAAAATCTTTCTACAGATTAGAAAAAGGCACCCCTTCCTCCAAACTGATGAAGCCTCACATCTGGTTACACAGTTTGGCAAACGGAGCCCAGGCAGGATTTCAACTCAACCTTATATACGACTATACATAACAGCACTGGATTCATTAATATATCACGGACTAAAAGATGAATCAAAATGTATTAGAAAAAAAACTTTTAAAGGATGTTATCCCTTGAATTGTGTTTTAGTAAAATTTTATGCTATATCACTCTAATCCTAGATAATGTCTCAGCTTGGACATTAGATTAGTTATATGGCAAATTTCAAGCATCTGTGGGTATCTCCTGTAATTCTTTTCATAATCAATATAACTGAAGGTCGAAGTCTATGCTAGGCCCTGGAGCTAGGCCTTGTTGCACAAATATAGTATCTGACTGATTTACAGTTCAGTGATCAATCTATATTTAGAAGAACATTATTTTTAAAGTCATACTTACTGATAAACTTGTTTTGCATAGTCTCCAACAGTGCCTGGTGAGCATCTTCAGCTTGTAAAGCATGTGAACATTCTCTAGCCAATATGGTACGTACAAGATGCTCCCCACATCCTAGAAATAAAAGAAGACCAAGAACTATTGAGGAAAAGCAGTTCTAAACATCCTTCTTATCATATTAACATTAAAACATCTTCATATGTCACTTAAGAAATAGTTTTGGAGAATAATTCAGTGATGGATGAAATGACTTCTATGAGCAATCTAGAATTTTAGTTAGAAAACTCAGTAGAATGTAAAGAAATAAATAACTGTCTAATATCAAAAGGAAACAGAAATATAAAAGAAAACCCCTTTTTCATAGGAATGATTTACATAATACAGAAATTCAGATTCTCTGCCTAGGAATCTCCTAGGGCTTTGTCTCATTTTCACTGTTGGGTAACTACAGAAATTCTGTTTTATAATTTATTTGTTTACATACAATTGTCCTAGTCTCCAATTTTGCCTCACCATCCCACACACCTGGGAGCATGGGAGAAATCTAAACAGCCCAGGGCAATCTAGATCTCCATCTAACTACTTTTCACTAAAATGTCCGCCACATATCAACGGCTGCAAAGTGGACTTAATCAAATAGCAGCTTTCTCACCTTATAATAGTAACTTACATAGCCTACAGAACTACTCTGTAATTCTAAAAAAAGAATGCATTTTAAATCCATGGAGTGAACTTGGGACCATTCAGACACACTAAGAAAGAGTATGTATAATGGCAATGGAAAGCACTGCCTAAAATTCCATTACAGTTTCTATCTGTTAAAAGTAGAAACTGGGGTCACCTGGGTGACTTAGTCGGTTAAGCATCTACCTTCGTTTCAAGTCATGATCCCAAGGTCTTGGGATGGACCTGGCATTGGGCTCCCTGCTCAGCGGAGAACCTGCTTTTCCCTAGTCTTCTGCCCCTTCCCCTGCTTGTGTTCTTTTGTGGACCCTCTCTCAAATAAATAAAATCTTTTAAAAATATATATTTAAATAAATAAAGTAGAAACTTCCTGCAAAAGTAGAGACAAAGGAAATTCAATTTATAGGTTGATAAGTTCAAATAAAAGATTTCTGAAAAAAGAGACTTACTTTTTTCTTAGATATAAAAAATATTAAAAAGCTACTTTGATAACCATTGGAGGAGTAAATCTTTCAAAAAAAATACTAAGTAATGGGGCACCTGAGTGGGTCAGTCAGTTAAGCATTCCACTCTGGGTTTCAACTCAGGTCATGATCTCATGGGTCATGAGATAGAGCCCCCCGGGGGAAGTCTGCTTGAATATTCTCTCCCTCTGCCCTCCCCAACCACACACATGTGCTCACACACTATCTCTCTTCTCTCTCTCAAATAAATCAGTAAATCTTAAAAAAAAAAAAAATACTAAGTGCTACTGGAAATGCTTATTCTACATAAAATCAGTTATATTAATTAAAATATAAATTTCCTCTTACACAAATGAGAACAGTAGATAATACATAAGACCTGCTTCCTGTCTCTTAAAGAATACGGCTTTTTTTTTTTTAAAGATTTTATTCATTCATTCATGAGAAATACACAGAGAGAGGCAGAGACATAGGCAGAGGGAGAAGCAGGCTCCCCACAAGGAGCCCAATGCAGGACTTGACCCCAGGATCATGCCCTGAGCCAAACGAAGACACGCAACCACTGAGCCACCCAGGTGCCCCAAAAATAAAATAAAATCTTGAGGGAAGCAGCTCAACATGGGCACTGGCTGCCTAACTTGCTTACACCAAGTTCAAAACCCCTGTGCTCTTGGCACTGCCCTTATCAGTCAAGCTTGCTTCAGTTCCAGTGGGATGGGTCCCTCACCCAGAAGACCAGCAGAAACCCCTGCCCAGACCATACCTCCTGGTTCTATAGGGCCAACTTCTGGTGGAGTTGGTGTCAGGGTCATTTTACAAGTAGACCAGAGCCCACCTAGTTAAAACTTACCACATTTAGGTCAGTAACCAAACATTGCCCACAACAAGTTAAAAGAACCTCTGCAGATGAGTGGCCTGAAGGACAGAGCTGCCAAAATAATACAGCACAGTGCACACAGCAAGGCATTCATTCAAAATAAAAGGAGAAACAGTCCCAGACAAACAAAACGCAACAGAGTTCAAGACCAATACCCTAGCCCTGCAAGAAATATTAAAGGAGACTTTTTTGAGTGCCAAAGAGAAACCAAAAGTGACAAAGACAAGAAAGGATCAGAGAAAATCTCCGGAAATAATAACAAAGTAATAAAATGGCAATAAATACATATATATCAATTATTTCACATGTAAATGACTAAAGGCTCCAATCAAGAGCCACAGGGTGTCAGAATAAGTGAAAAAACAAGACCCATCTATATGCTGTCTATAAGTGACTCATTTTGGACCTAAAGACACCTGCAGATTGAAAGTGAGGAGGTAGCAAAATATTTATTATGCAAATGGATGTTAAAAGAAGGCCAGAGTAGCAATATATAGTGGACAAACTAGACTTTTTTTGTTCTTGTAATTTTTTTTATAGATTTTATTTAGAGAGAGAGAGCTAATGCAAACAGGGGGAATGGCAGAGGGAGACAAAGAGAGAGAATCTTAAGCAGATTCCTGGCTGAGTGGGGCACCTGGCACAACCCTGAGGTCATGATGTGAGCCAAAATCAAGAGTCGGACGCTCAACTGAATAAGCTACCCAGGTACTCCTGTTCTTGTACTGTTTTTATCCTCCTTTGGCAACAGAGTAGCATTGGTCTCATGGACTGATTCTGAATGTGTTCCCTCTATTCCATTATTTATAAGGTTTTGATAAAGATTTTTATTAATTTAGTTTAATGTTTGGTAGGATTCACTAATGAAACCATGTGGTCTTGGGCTTGTCTGTGCTAGAAGATTTTTGATTACTAATTCAACTTTCATTCTCATTACTGACCTAAGATTTCCTACTTCTTGCATTCAAGACTCATGATTGAATCTTAATAATCTGTGCATTGTTAGGAATTATCTGAAGTTTTTTCTAAGTTAATTATTTGTCAGTATATACTTGTTTATAGTAATCTATTATCACATTATGTAATTTTCTGATTATCTGTTGTATTGTTTTCTTTTTCTCATTTTGGTTTTTGAGTCTTTTTCTTCTTAGTTAACATAGTTAAAGCATTGCCAATTTTGTTTACTTTTTTGGAAAAATGGGTCATTATTTTCAATAATATTGTATTGTTTGTATTGTTATTGTTTATTCTGGTCTCAATTTTATTTAAAATTTCTGACTTTTCTTTGTTATTTCTATCCTTTACTAAATTTCAGCTAAGCTTTTTTTTCTAGTTCCTTGTGGTGTAATGTTGTTTATTTGAACTTTTTCTTAATACAAGCATTTATAGCATAAATTTCACTCTAACATCTGCTTTTGCTGCATTCCATAGGTTTTGAAATATTGTGTTTTCTTTTTCTTTTGTTTTGAGAAATATTTTGATTTCCATTTGATTTCCTACTTGGCCTACTGCTTGTGCAGTAGCATGTTTTTTTAATATTTATATATTAAATATTTAATATTTACATCGTGGATTTTTCATCTTTGTGTTATTGTTGATCTTTAGTTTTGTACCATTGTGGATGGAAAATATAGTTGGTATGATTTCAGTCTTCTTATATTTGTAATATTTGTTATGCCTCTTTTTACGTGACTTAACTAGGGGATTCTTCTGTGTATACTTGAAGAAAATGTATATTCTGTTTTTCTTAGATGGAAAGTTATATACATATCTTTTAGAACCACATATTCTGAAGTATGTTTCTTTTTTTTTTTAATTTTTTTTTTATTTATTTATGATAGTCACAGAGAGAGAGAGAGAGAGAGAGAGAGAGGCGGAGACACAGGCAGAGAGAGCAGCAGGCTCCATGCACCGGGAGCCCGACGTGGGATTCGATCCCGGGTCTCCAGGATCGCGCCCCGGGCCAAAGGCAGGCGCCAAACCGCTGCGCCACCCAGGGATCCCTGAAGTATGTTTCAAGTAAAAAATGTTCCTGTTGAGAAAAAAAAATTAAAAGCTCACCTTAAAAAAAAATTCGTGCTAAAGGTATTCCATTAGTTTATTAGAAAATCAAGTTCTACATTTATTCACATAATAGGCAAAGGGTATCAAAGGATCTGAGCACCTACTGAGAATAAAGGAGAAGTATGACTCAATTCTATACTCAAAAAATTCACAGCAAAAGAAGGAGCATCTCTACCATCCACTCAGATTCCCCCAAAGGTCCAGGGACAAAGCAACGTTTTCTCATGTTATTAATTTGCACGCGCGAGCGTGTACACACACATACATACACACACACATACACACACACACACACCACTGGTAAAGGTTTGTAGCAATCAGAAATATGAGCTAAGATTATCATATGAAAGAACTTCTTTTTAAAAATGTCTACAAATTTTTAAATTTGTGAATCATAAAGCAATACAAACTGATATAATACACAATTCTCTATTTAACTGGCATATACTATGACAAGCATTGGCACCAACAACAATCACCCTAAAAAATGTTATCTATAATTGTTAAACCATTGCTATTCCTTTCATATCAGTAATGTTCCCTTCATATGTAATACCTCTCATTCTCATTCTCTCCTTCCCTTTATCCCTCCCAATATATACACACACAAATGCATACACAGATATGTGCATATTATGAATACACATACAATATATACTTATTGCCAAGAAACACAAACCATTCAAAAAGTGTGAAAGTTTTTTTTAAAAAAATCACTTGATATTTTGCTAGAAGTAATTTCCCTGAATTTTTTGGTAAAATGTAAATGTAAATATCCTTCCAGATCTGAATATCATTTTATATGCACCTACACTTAGAGGAAGATCTAGAAATGCAATTTAATATATAACTTTCTGAGCAGGACTGTGGTGTTCCCTATTTTGTAAAAGTTTTGCAATATTATTTTTATAATCAGGGAGAAAATAGCAATAAAGCTAATAGAAAAGAAACCATTTTTGACACTTAATATGTTAAGACACTGTGCTAAGTTCATGAAACTCCGTAAATTTCAATTCCCTTTTGTG